TTGTTATATTGGGTCGTTGCAATTGTTGTGCCGGAAAATGCTCTGATCACTTATACTCGGAACGAGGGACCTCGACAATTCCCACGATGCGAAAGTAAGAACACAAGACTGGTATAAGTGGTGATTTATTAGCCTCAAAACACGACAACGACAATCATCAAAATAGTTTAAAATACACCGATTTATATATTGATTTTACACCCATTTTGATTAATAATTAGGATTAAATCACATACTCAGTTATAACAAATCACAGACTGAGTATAGTTCATGTCGATGGAATACAAGATTATCTTATATTATACAGAATGAAATATCATGCGACAAAAGAAGTTTTTTTGTATTCATTTGAACAACAATTTACACTAAATATTTGACTGAATCTGGTCTTTATATATGTATATAACCAAATCAATTTCTCTAAGACTAAGTAATCTCTGTCTTATAGAGCCGGCTACAAGTACTGTAAAAGTTCAAATCGGCGAGACTATAACTTATGGACAACCTTCAAGAAACTCAACTACATACTAGCATAAAAAGAGGGTGATAAATTAGGATTAGATTTGGAGTTTTCATCACGAATTGACATCAGATATAATGCAAAAATGCTGTCTTACCATATAGATGAAAAAACTTCGCATCGACAGACATAAGTAAGTAGTATGTAACACCAATCGTGTGTGGAAAATCTGGCTGCCGAAATCTAAGAAGATCGAGTTGAAGTAAACAGAAAGGTTAATAGAAAGGAACTGTGAACTGGAAGAATCATACAAAATGCGAAGGACAATGGATGAAAGATTTACAAATGAAGTATTTGATGTATAGTTCTCATGTTTTGCGAAGATATTTCATAATTTTGTATTAAATAATAAATTGCTTGTCCCTCACTTGAGTTCCTGTTTATTACACTATCTTTGATTTCATTGATTCCCGTATAAATTATAGTCTCGCCATTGAATCTAGTTCGTTCAGATCTTTCAGAAAACATTGGTATTTTTGTACCAGTATTAGGATTCACTGGTTTGTATTTACGACTTCACGACCATCACCCAGTCTCATCGATAAGATCTATCGTACTCCTGAAATGTCTGAACTCTACCGGTCATAATTCACCAAAGCATCTACAATTTATCTCACATGTATTTACCTTAAGTTTCAATGATTATTCAACTCATAATGAATGATAGCGAATAGTTTGTTTCTTCCTAATTCTCCATCGATCAGTTAGATGTTCACCTGCACACGGCAGGATTCTACTTGTAGTTTTTTTTATTTTTAAGAAAATAGTATTGAGATAGTGTGATCCAGATTGAAAATTTTTCGTCAATTTTTCCACAGTATTAAATAAAATAACGTATATCAGGTTGAGTTGATGTGCAACTACCTAAAAAAGTTAAATGTATTGATTATATCATGACAGCTTGAAAGTTTTCTCTAAAATTACACAAATGGTAAATCAACAGAAGCTACAAACTTCTTGGTTTGGAGCCTACAGAATAATCGTAATCACCTATTAAAAATCTTAGATGACTTTAAATTGTTCGTAGCGGTTCATATTTATTTATTTAACTTTCTCTCCCAGTTGAACTTAAATCGTTGTATTTTCTTGAATCTGCTTAGACTCCTCAGTTTCACTTATTTCTGAATATGTTCTCTATTTGTAGAAGTTATTTGTTATTGAAAACCAGAAAGCACTAGACTACTTTGTCCTGTTATGGGACTCTTCAGCAATGCACACCCATTTAAAGTTCCTAGACTTAAGCCCTGTTTGGGTCATGAATGTGCACCACCTAGGCGTTCTGTTTTAGGACGAAATTTGCCAGTGTTCCCTGATTTTCCATGGTACCCGAACTGAAATCAATCCGTGACATATATCGTCCATAGAACAAAAGTTTCCGCAAAATCCTTTTCGTGTAAATTATATTCTTTGTTTAGCTTTGTTTCCTATCACTTACTGTTTCCACTCCTTTTTATTAATGCTCTTTATCTTAAAGTTCATATGTGGTTTCAGAATTCGCATACTTAGGTGACTAACTACCTGCTTCTCATATACTAAATCTAAAAAAAATATTATTTGGCGATGTTAACTACTTTTTTTGTTTCTTCAAAATCCCTGAGAAAAACTACTGTTTCCAACATAAATCAGTCATATAAGTTTACGTGCTAAATTCCAACTGAAATCCTCTTTAGTTTATTTGTTTTGACTGAATTCTTACGTAACATAGTAATCGTAATAAACAATAACATGATTATACGTCACGCCCCACCAATATTGATGCTATGTTTTTATTCGGTTAATTTTTTTTCACTGTATTTTCATAGCCCTCGTATGTGCAATAAACTTCAAAGAGATGTTTTATTATTTCTGCGGATTCTAATTGATATCAGTAGTATCGTATAGGAGATAGACAGCATAATGACCTCATACTTCATTACGACATTGTATTGAACAAGTTGATTACATATATATAGTCAGTCAATATTGAGATTTGACTGACGTTAGAAGTATGAATCGTTGGCCATACCTCATTGCTTCAAAGGTTAGATGCTCACTTGAAGGCTTCAAAGTTTTTTATTTAATCCTTGGAAAGATCATATGTGCGTTGTTGAGAATACCCTTATACTAAGGCAAAACAGCTATTAAATCCCTGCTGGTTTCTAATGGTTGTGCTATATCTGCGTTGCTTATTACTTGTACTTGATAAAACGAAAAAGCACTATAATTTCCACGACGCGAAGTAAGAACACCAAGACTGATGCAAATGAAGATTTATTAACCCCAAAATCACGACGACACAGCCGAAAATGTACTCATATATTGATTGTAAACCCATTTTGATTATTAATTATAATTAAATCACATATATGGAAAACATCCAAAATTATAACAAAATCACATGCTAAACATAGTTCACGTTAATTTAATACAAGAATATCGTATCTTGAATAAGCGTCACAATCAAATAAATTAATATTATACCGAATAAAATATCATACTGGAAAACAAGAATACTATACTAAGCAGTCATCACATTGAATTAATAATGTGCTAGGTTTGAAACTATCACGAGTTCACTTAATCTGCGAACGAGAACAAAGACTCAGTGACCGAAAACCAGTAAGCTAGCTTTTTGACGCGTCCCAGCCTCGCTAACTAGAGGGAGAAGTCCAAGTTCGGAATGGGAAGTATATTCCGCAAAACAGCGAGAAACGAGCGATAACAACAAACATAATTCAAAACGTATATATACAGTGTAAAACCGTCCTTGGGGAGAGTTACCAAATAGCATACTGAAAGACGCAACGGACCAATAGCGTTTAAGATATTTCCCAGTGGGAAATACGACATGAAGGTGACAAGAGCTCCTTTGGCGCGGAAACAAAGAATTCTAAATAAAATCGCAAAATTCGGTCCTTTCCCAAGTGAGTTCTGGGGATCTAACGTCCCCAACATAATGAAAGTAATGTTGACCAAAAATCACAAGTCAGTTGTGATTTTGCCTTTTTATTCTGTTGTCTAAATGAAGTTAATTTACATTGGAACCGCTTTTCATATTCAAACATCTTCAGTAATCCACTTGATATTGTTTTATTTGAATCTTCCCATTGATGTTTTTGGACTGAAATTGATCAGAGTGAACATCAACTCTGAGGTGCAGGTACATCCAGCTGACGAGTCCCAAACAGGACTAAACGCGCGTCCTGGATTCCACTGCTAGCCACTATCCATCTTTGCTTATAATCTTCAGTAATCGCCCACGCATATTTTAATACTTTTCCCTCTGTCTGTTGTTTTTCGTCATATCTCATTATCAAAGAAATGTGTACAGAAAAACAAAACAAAATTAGATGTGAAAAAACGTCCGAGTGTTCTACTGGTTTTTCTTAGTTTCCATGATATGTAACAAAGTGTGACAGCATGGACTAACGTACTTTTGAACGAGATTTTGTTTGTCTTAGGGGAAAGCAGTATGTGACACAAGTTTGCATAATCACTACCGTTTTACAATTCACAACTTCAAATCTGGAAGTCGTTAACCTAGCAATATCAAATGTGTGATCAATGTTCTTGTTTCAAGCATGTTAAGTTTTTCTTGAGTAACTGTCATTTGATTATATCAATTAGCATTTATTCTGTGTGTGTATGTGTGTATATTATCTTCAAGTAATTGGCATAGGACTAGAATTAATTTATTTGCCATTGTTGTAGTTTATGTAAAAATAGTTTGGATGCTTATCGTCAAACATCTATAATTGCGGCAGATAGTATAGGGGTACTGTTCAAGGTATACTGGTGGTTAACATTACCCAATTACCTACATCGAGGAATGTTATTTCCTCTTGAGAAACCTAGAAATGATTGACTGTCTGATGGACCTAGGAGGATAGGGGCAGTGCCTAAGCGACAACTGTTTGAACCCAGTTGCAGATAATCATTTTTATGAATCGTTTCTATAGTATTACTACCGAAAATTTTCAACCCTATTATTGGCACCAGAAATTCGTAGCTTCAATATTTTCTAACCCTTTAAATTCTATTTACCAAAAGCAGGATCGCCGAAAATACTATAACGGCACGGTATCTCAATACAGTTGGTAGTACAACCTATCAGCTAAAGTAGTTACTTTTGATATTAACGCTATCTAACCGACCTTCCTGATATCTTAAGACATTAAGGCTGAAGTACTGAAACCGATGTAGTCCTACAGTTGTAATTAATAAGTCTAATCATTATGTCAAAGTGCCAATTACTGTTTATTACACAACAATGAAATAACAGTCAAAGATTCGTTCGTATGGTGCTAATCAATGAACAAAATTGATTTCAGGTTGAGATATTGTGATTTTGTAATCCGAAATCAAATTTACCCAGTGATTTGTATACGGAATAAATCAGTAGCTTATAGCACATAATATTTTGTATCTTTCTACTAAATAGTATTTTAAAAAACGTTTTTATCAACATTACCCTCCCATCCATATCGCTTCATATTTGCAGATGGTATTGGATACATCTAGAAATTTTCATCATTATCGTACTCTCCTATCAGCTAATAATGTATCGGCTCCAATGTTACCCTATCTACCATTGGTATTGAAAGATTTAACATTTATCCATTTGGGTAATCCTTCTTGTACTCCAGATGGATTGATAAATTTTGTCAAATTACGAATGCTTGCTAAAGAGGTTAGTTAAATAGTTATTATTATTATCTCTGCTTTTTTTCCAGCTGTTAATGATTTGGTTCAGCCTATTTCAGTACTGCAAACAACCCCATTATCACAACGGTACAATTCAGAACTATGTTTAGAAAATATATTATTTATTTATAACAATCTACCCAATGCTCAATTTATTCGAAAATATGTTTAGAAAAATTTAATACTCAGTATTTCATTAGGGTTGACACTTATCTGTTAAATATTGAACTAGTTCAGTTCCTTACTGTACTGTATCATAAGTTCGACTGAAGTTTTGATATAATAACTTAGTGGGTTACGAGGGGATCAGGTATCCGTAGACAATAATAATATTTGTAAAGAGTTCCGAATTAGATCAGAATGGCTCCATAACATCTAGTTTTCAATGAGGTGATAAATTGATCATTTTTTATACATACCACCCTAATTAATTTTAGATCACTTAAGCTGAATATGTAACAGTTGCTAGTCATGTCAAATAAATCTTTTTACACTTCTCGTTGGTTTAACCTTCAAACTTTACCTTTTCAGACAAGTAAGCCCACATTAACTACGTGGGATCTGGTACAAATCTATATCTATCCAAGTCATCATTCTGTAAATACTAAGTATCTAAAACAAAACCAACACTAGTGTTAAGTTAGGGTTTAGGTGATAGAGCAAAGAAAAATTAAAAATTTAGCACCTATACCACTACAGTCAACCTCTTATGAGATTGATCGTGATAAGTTTCAGCTATTTTAATGTGTTGTATTTATTTAACCAGGAATGTATTCTCTGTATTACAATTATTTGATTAAAAACTTGTTAGTAACAAATCAATTATTGTTGAAATGTGTGTTCTTATAAACAGCTAGTCAGCTATTGATTTATCTTAACAAAATGTGTTTCACACGTACTCTCTTTTGTGTTTTACATCAAAAGAACAAATATTTTAAACAACAAAACATTGTTCAACTACGATCAAAATGTTTCTGTTTAAAAATAAACACTCTTGACAAGTTGATTGAGTTTTGTTTAAATTACAGAAGATTTAATAAGATTAACTATAAATGAATATATATACGTAACGCAAATGAAATGTAAGTGCTGTGCGTTGGTATACGTTTGTGTGTATGTTTGCGATCGCATATCTGTATTGACAAAAAGAAAAGTGAAGTATTTACTTAAATAGTGCTTCTAAATGTCTGTGTGTGTGTATGTCTGTATATTTTATATCCAAGAAAACAATAAATACACTTGAAATAACATAAAATAATGAAACGAGTTGAACGAAACCAACGTCACGTCGCATAAGCTAGTCAATTTTAGTTTGTTGCGCAAGTTATTTGTTATTGACATAATTAACATTAGTATTATTGCCACAACTACCAAATCTACTTGACAGGTTACAATGGTTATTTTTCAAGCGTAAAATTATGACTGTTTATTAAAACACGATATTCATAAACACAGAAATGTTTTTTCCATTGATCAATAAATACCGTAATTGTTTCATTGCCCCTATCATTTAAATTTAGACTGATTACACATTTTATCCATCCACTTTCAACTCTACAAAGTCAATTTGTATCTTTTCACAACCATGTATATATGATATCTTTAACTATTTTCTTCTCAGAAGGTTGTTGATTATTCCCTACTTCTACTCCCTGCGAGCTATCACTGTATACCAGTGTCACTTCCATCATTGTACCATAAAACATTAACTTATAATTTACTGTCAGACCCGTTTAACAGAATAAAGTCAAGAGATTGATATTTAATTCCGTTGAATAAATTTAAGAATTTAGAAAAGTCAAAGCACGAATCTTAGTCAAGACAACAACAACAATTTTTAATATATATGATGATTGACTTAATTTATTTGGTAAAATATTGAGAGTCAAGTGAACAATCATCTTGGTGTTATTAGTTGAAAAATGGAATCTTTTTGGTCATTTAAAAATCTTTGTACGTATTTATTAGTCTGGCTCAAATTTCAATTGATCTACAAAATCGACCAGAATCAGAAATAAGACAACTACACATTAATTACATTGGATAATAAATAGTCTTGTTATAATAATGAATTTACCAAAGTTTGAAAGTTTATAAGTCACTAAATTTCAAGTTTTTGATTTCATTTAGATTTCTAGACCTAAATTATTGAGAAATTCCATATTGGAATGGAACAACTGTCCCAATTCTTTCATAGTATAAGCGGGTTGTGGAAATCATTAAATCTATACTTTTATATCGCAAACTGATTTTATGTAAACAACTAATAAAACCCAAAAAGCATTGGACTGTTGTTTCATCCTAATACACGACTTATCAACAGTGGGCATTCACGACCACATCAGCAATAAAACCCTCGAACTTCAAGCCTCACGGCGAATGCTTAATTTTCAGACCACTCATACGTTGTCGTTTTTAGAACCAGTTTATGTCCCAGCCACACATGGTGTCTTATTTAAAAACATATAACAATTGTGGACATGTGTCAATTCACCAACCTTTATCTCTATCCAATCTTGATTTCTTTCCATATTTGTTACTGAAAAAAACCACTTTTCGTATTAATAAGCTTGTTCAGTTTTTTTCTATTCCTAAAATGCTATTAAGCTACTTGTATTATGGCCCGACCGTAGCTGCTGACGTGGTGGTCAGGCTTGCCTATCGTGATGACCCAACCGAGCTATGTTGGCTGGAGCATTTGTTCCTGTAGGTTCTACCATGCCAGGCAGGTCTATTGGAGAACGGCAAAACTAAAAGCCACAACTCAAGGTTTGAGGGCGAAGTCGTACTGCTGACTGTAGAGGAGAGTAACAGCAGTAAGGTGTTTCCCTCCAACAACCAGCATCTTCAGCGATGCTGCATTCTCACAAGGAAGGGAAGGGTTAGAAAAGGTTGACCCTAAAAATATCACACCTCACCTTACCTCACGGATTTCCGTCTCCGGCGGTAAGGCCCATTGAAGAACGGAGCTAACACGTCAAAAACCTCCCACGAAGAGGCCGTGCACGATCAGCCTCAAGGAGTTGACCTTTTGGCCCCACGGTTACGCTGCCAGATCGTTAAGACCAACACTAATCCGATTTCCTTTTCAAGTTCCTCAAGAAATACCCTTCCACGGTGTGGGGAGCCGGGAGGTGACACCAGCCCTCATACCCGTGTAACAGCACACTGGACCAAGTTGGTCACATTCAAATACTTCTTACACCTCCTAATAACTCTCTTATCTCCATGACTAACCCTCCTCACATCCTTTTTTCACCTTGCATCGCTAGGGCAAACGATTCGAGTACGCGAAACGTTATTCCTGGTCTCCTGAAACCACGCTCTAAACTACACGTAGGAGGTTTTAACGTACGAACACTGTGCCAAATAGGACAACAGGTTTCCTTAGCTAGGACTTTACAACCTCGCGCCATCGGTGTGTGCTGCGTCTCCGAAACGCGCATACAGGATCCGAGTAGCGTCATTCATTTGACATTACCATGTCAAAACAAAAAACAAACTCTGACAGGTTCACTCCTGAGATTTTTAAGGATGATGGTTCAGTATTAGCAGTGAGATTGACCGAGGTCTTAGGTATAACCTGGGAACTGGACATAATCCCAACTGACTGGTCCCAATCGCTGATTGAGCCAGTCTATAAGAAAGGACAAAAGTCCTCTTGTGACAATCACAGGGGAATCAGTTTGGCTTATATAGTGTCTAAAATATTAGCTTCAATAATACTTCGACGCCTAACTAAAGCTCGTGAAGATCAGACTAGAGAAAATCAGTCTGATTTTCGACCTGGACGTGGTTGTATAGACCACATATTCACACTACATCAGGCTCTAGAACACAGACACACATTCAGACGCCCCACAATGGTAGTATTTCTCGACCTTAAGGCAGCATTCGACTCGGTCGATCGTAAGGTTCTACGGCATTGTTTGTCATTGAAAGGAGTACCAAAGAAGTACATTAACTTTGTAAAGGCTCTCTACTCGAACACAACTGGTCGAATGAGAGCTTATGGCGAACTGTCATTAGAATTGATTACCTCAAGTGGTGTTCGTCAGGGCTATCCACTCTCTCCATTCTTGTTTAACTTTGTCATTGACGTACTTTTAGAGATAACACTTTCCTCATCTAAATTTCCAGGGGTTGAACTTCTACCAGGAGATTCACTTGTTGACTTGGAATATGCTGATGATATAGTTCTATTTGGTGAAGACGCTGACAAAATGCAGAGTCTTCTGACCACTCTAAGCAACAATGCAAGCATGTTCGGCATGCGATTCTCCCCCTCGAAATGCAAAATGTTGCTTCAGGATTGGGTTGCATTGACACTCGAACTAATGATAGGGAGTGAAGTAATTGAGCGTGTCGATCGCTTCACTTATCTTGGAAGTCTCATCAGCCTTTGTGGTCTGGTGTGCGACGAAATCTCAGCACGGATACAGAAGGCTCGACTAGCTTTTGCCAACATGCGTCATTCATGGCGTAGGCGAGATATCCGTCTATCAACCAAAGGACGGGTTTACTGTGCAGCAGTTTGTTCCGTCCTACTTTATGGCAGTGAAACATGGCCGGTAAGAGTAGATGATATTCGTAGGTTACTAGTATTTGATCATAGGTGTCTTCGAAGCATTGCTCGTATATCCTGGGACCACCGAGTAAGTAATACAGTTGTTAGGAAACGGGTACTAGACAAGGATGGCAAATCGATTGATGACGTAGTGAAACTTCATCAGTTGAGATGGCTGGGACACGTGTTACGTATGCCCAACCACCAACTGCCTCGACATGCAATATTTTATGGTATAGTAGTAGGTTGGAAGAAATTTAGGGGCGTCCATACCAAAACACGTCACAAACCCATGAAGTCACTGACAAGTGGACTGAGTCATGTTGGTAGGTGTAGACTACCTGTTTGGGGTCCGCGGGACGATTGCAACCGATGGTTAGAGACCCTGAATGGCATGGCTCAAAATCGCTTGCAATGGTGTGAGCAGGTGCATCCATTCTTTGTGTTCTCCCAAATTCTAATCTTCTGGATTCTCGTTGTCTTTTTTTCTCTTTCCAAATTTATTTCACTGTATTATACTCTTTAAATAACATTTCCAAGCACTAATCTTCCCGATTACTGCTTATAGTCTTACTATTTCTACCACTACGGGATTTGAATCGACCACTGCATCTGTGTGCTAATGTGGTGTGGCAACTCGAACTGATGTACGTACGTATGAAGTTCTACGTTGTTATTGACTGACTGACTGACTTGTATTGTGGGGTATTCAAGGGAACAGAAAAAAAGATACCGACATAATTAAATACAGTCACTGAATTATTTTTCTCAGATTTTATTGTTTTCTTTCAACTTTCAATGAACCTACTTCATAAGCTGTAGTATGTCTTCCGTGCTGTTTTATTTCAATAAATCGGCATATTTGTTTTTGTATGTTGCACGGGCATATTCTCCCATGCACTGACTTTCAGTGTTTACATTTACGTCAATATACAGGTGTTTATTAAAGGTAAGATAATTTTCAGTTGATGTCATTTTGAGATGCAACTACATTGAGTCCGATTCTGTGCATAAATTCTACGGCAGAATTATCGAACGCAAACTAAAACACTAAAAATCATCGTGTGACTATGTAACAAGTCCTTGTCTTTGAGAATCTTGTGTATTTGGAAAATCTGCGTTGTACTTGTCACCATGAAAATTCTTCATAAGTTCTCTCTGCTTAAGTGTTTTTGCTGTTTCACAGTTATGTTTACATGAAATTTTCCCTTAAATGTAACTATTTCTCATTCCTACGTTGTCATTGTGGCTGCTGTTGCTCATGTTGTTTTCGAACATCTTTTATTCTTACTTCCTAGGTTCGTGCCATTTGTCGGATGTGTAATGTTGATTATGATTTATGCACTACTCCATATCGCGGTCGTACTGGTGGTGCTGTCGGACGTGTACGTGCTGGTGCCAATTTAAGCGCGCTTAAAGCAGTCGCTTCTGTTTCATCTATCAATCCAAAATCGTACTTTTCAAATCTTACATCGATGAATAACTCCAATCAAACAAATTATAATAATAATAATAATAATAATAATAATAATAATAATAATAATAATAATAATAGTGCTAGTGCAGATTCTAATTGGTCAGAACACGATATGGTTGAAGTGAAATTCAGTCATTCAAATTCTCTTGACGATAGTGAACAACAACAACAACATGAAAGCACACTTAACTTTGATGCGAATCCTATGAATCCGACTAATGTTTCGAGTGGTTTTAACGGTGGGCAGTGTTTTTACTTTTTCTTTCCTTCCTATGATTTTTACTTAAGAGGCTTGTGGGTGGTTTGTTAGCAAAAATTAAAATGATGTGAATGCTGATCTACCCCAGTCTTTTGAGAAATAACAATATTTCAGAAAAAAAGTTGCTCTCCAACTTTATACAAGATCTATTTTATAATACTTTTGAAGGTTTAAACAACTAAGAATTTAAATGGTTAAGATCATGAGTCAGTTGAAGCTAGACCACCATAGAAAACCTGGAATCAGTGGACGGCTGTTTCGTTCTTTTGTGGGACTCCTCAGCAAGAATTTATTAGCTTCTGTTCACATCGATTATTTTTGTATAGCTCGTATGTAATCTTATTAACTTCCTGTTCATATTTTCCCATGGAATTGAGTGGTATATATATAGTCGTTGAATTTGACATTTTAACTTTTCTTCAGTCAGATCCCATTATTACCTTTAGACTAATGCACATCAAGTCACGATACTGTAAGCATTTCCTCTATCTTTCTCAAAACTTGAAAAGTTCTCGAGGAATTATAGCTTATTCAATAGTTTTCAAAATTTGTTGTGAGTTTGTAAAAGTTATGATTGGAAAATTCTCTAATTTTATATGATAACCTTAGCTAACCAAAAACGTTCTTCTCCCTCCGTTCAAGTTTATTACGCGGTAACCTTCTATCAAAATGAATCTTTTGGTTTGTTTATCTTTGCCTTACCCTTGTACAACCGATTTAGTGTAACCATTAAAAATCACATATATTCAGCCATCACTGTCTTCGAGATATCGTTTTCATATTGTAAAACGATCTAGTGACTAATGTTCTTGCTAAGTGTTCTACGTAGTGAAGGCAAGATTTTGAACCTTTATCGGTTTACGCCTTTTCTGTGTGTGTTGCACAAGTCTATACATCATCCTACCTTAAAATACATTAATCATAAACAGTTTTGGAAAATTTACTGTGTGATGACACAGAATATGGCAAGAATCTATTGATCTTTTTTCTAGATTGTGTAGGGAAATGCAAGCTATTTGTTAGTATCTGCAAAATATAATAAATCCAACGTTTTTATGATATGTTACAAAACATCAGTCAAATTAGTCTAGACACATCCATACTTGTTGATACTAGGAACTACAATCGATCAGTTCTTATTGGGATATATGCATCATTTGTGGATTATCTCAATATTCCCTTTTAGTTACAACTATTCAGTATATTGATAGTGTTTAAAGTAATGTACAGCGTTGTTATCTCAACGTGAACATTAACCCTGGAATTTACATCTAGTTGATGAGTTTCAATCAAAATAAAACTCTCGTCCTACATTCTACGGTCATCTCCAATCTGAATATAGATTTTCTCAGTAATATGTGATAAGGGGTTTTGTGGATATTATAGTAATTCCAATAGTTGAGGTCATGAGCCAATTGAAGCTAGACCCCCATGGAAAACCTGGAAGCACTGGACGGCCGTTTCGTCCTACTGTGGGACTCCTCAACCGTGTGGATTTGTTGAAGTTAGACATTAACACAATTGGATACCTGCTCAGTGGTCTAGTGGTTAAGCGCTCGCGCGCGAGACTGATAGGTTCTGGGTTCGAATCTCACGAGGCCGGATCGTGGATGCGCACTGCCGAAGAGTCTCATCGTAGGGCGAAACGGCCGTCCAGTGCTTCTAGGTTTTCCATGATGGTCTAACTTCAATTGACTCATGATCTCAACTATTGAAATTAATATGTGATAGTGAAACTGAAATATGATTAGCAACCGAGCGTGGACGAACAGGCACTTGGCTTACCAGCTATTAAATATGTGATTATTTGGTGAAGACGCTGACAAAATGCAGAGTCTTCTGACCACTCTAAGCAACAATGCAAGCATGTTCGGCATGCGATTCTCCCCCTCGAAATGCAAAATGTTGCTTCAGGATTGGGTTGCATTGACACTCGAACTAATGATAGGGAGTGAAGTAATTGAGCGTGTCGATCGCTTCACTTATCTTGGAAGTCTCATCAGCCTTTGTGGTCTGGTGTGCGACGAAATCTCAGCACGGATACAGAAGGCTCGACTAGCTTTTGCCAACATGCGTCATTCATGGCGTAGGCGAGATATCCGTCTATCAACCAAAGGACGGGTTTACTGTGCAGCAGTTTGTTCCGTCCTACTTTATGGCAGTGAAACATGGCCGGTAAGAGTAGATGATATTCGTAGGTTACTAGTATTTGATCATAGGTGTCTTCGAAGCATTGCTCGTATATCCTGGGACCACCGAGTAAGTAATACAGTTGTTAGGAAACGGGTACTAGACAAGGATGGCAAATCGATTGATGACGTAGTGAAACTTCATCAGTTGAGATGGCTGGGACACGTGTTACGTATGCCCAACCACCAACTGCCTCGACATGCAATATTTTATGGTATAGTAGTAGGTTGGAAGAAATTTAGGGGCGTCCATACCAAAACACGTCACAAACCCATGAAGTCACTGACAAGTGGACTGAGTCATGTTGGTAGGTGTAGACTACCTGTTTGGGGTCCGCGGGACGATTGCAACCGATGGTTAGAGACCCTGAATGGCATGGCTCAAAATCGCTTGCAATGGTGTGAGCAGGTGCATCCATTCTTTGTGTTCTCCCAAATTCTAATCTTCTGGATTCTCGTTGTCTTTTTTTCTCTTTCCAAATTTATTTCACTGTATTATACTCTTTAAATAACACTTCCAAGCACTAATCTTCCCGATTACTGCTTATAGTCTTACTATTTCTACCACTACGGGATTTGAATCGACCACTGCATCTGTGTGCTAATGTGGTGTGGCAACTCGAACTGATGTACGTACGTATGAAGTTCTACGTTGTTATTGACTGACTGACTGATTTCCGTACCTCTCCTAACTCACTGCATGTGACTGATTATACTGAATCAATTAACATCTAGTGTTAATCTCATTCCCTATTCCGGGTTGTGAATCCTAGTTCTGATGTAACGTGACTAGTCTTATTATCGTATTGACGTATTATCGATGTGTACCTGAGAGAGAAAAATATTTTAAACTATCCGTTATATCGATGGTCCTTTTTTTTTGAAGTCTTTACTAATTTCATCATTAAAATTAATTTTAAAGAGAGTAAGAACAAAAATTGGTCCAGAATAATATGAATTCATTTTATTTCGTTAGGTTCTCATCAGCTGCTTACAACCTAAATTATTTAAAATTCAACATTAATACAGATATTGACATATTTATATATAAGGGTGTGATTAAGGATCAATACATGTGTATGATGATGTAGCGAATATTCAGATAGAGTTAATGAGCTCATAAGATGTTTGATTCGAATAAATAAATAAAGTTTGAGAGGGAAAGTTCCAGAACATTGAAATAGTGATTAGAACTCATGAAAATTGATTAATGGTAATAAAGAAAATATGAATTGAAATCAATCAGTTATGTATGATGTAATTTATATTTCAGAAAGAGTTGCAATAATGACGTAATAAATAAATAAATAAATAGGAGCAAATTGATAGAAAGAGTGGGGGTTATTGTTACCAGGGTAAAGAAAGATTTATTACTGTCTCTTTTTGTATACATAGATCTGGTTTTAAACGTTTGATTGCTAACGCTTCAGCGAATTTCAAAAGGTTCGAGTTTGATTGTTTGTTAATCACCTTGAAGGACTTCAGTATATCAGCTTTATGTCCTGTATCAAGGAGATGTCTGGCGATAGCACTGTTGAATGCGTTCAATCCATTTAACCTTAAACGTTTAAAACCAGATCTATGTATACAAAAAGAGACAGTAATAAATCTTTCTTTACCCTGGTAACAATAACCCCCACTCTTTCTATTAATTTGCTCCTATTTATTTATTTATTTATTACGTCATTATTGCAACTCTTTCTGAAATATAAATTACATCATACATAACTGATTGATTTCAATTCATATTTTCTTTATTACCATTAATCAATTTTCATGAGTTCTAATCACTATTTCAATGTTCTGGAACTTTCCCTCTCAAACTTTATTTATTTATTCGAATCAAACATTTTATGAGCTCATTAACTCTATCTGAATATTCGCTACATCATCATACACATGTATTGATCCTTAATCACACCCTTATATATAAATATGCCAATATCTGTATTAATGTTGAATTTTAAATAATTTAGGTTGTAAGCAGCTGATAAGAACCTAACGAAATAAAATGAATTCATATTATTCTGCACCAATTTTTGTTCTTGCTCTCTTTAAAATAATAAAGGGAACTATGTGTATAAAATTAATTTGTTTTATATTATTTCGCAGAATTGTTCTTATTCGACAGTTAACCACAATCAATGTAAAATGGAGCACAAATATGCATCAACCCAACCCACCATATCAAATTTGCACAACGAGTTGAAATAATAGTATGAATAGCTAATGCATCGTAATAATTGTAGTACCAACAGTATTTTTTAAGAAGAAAAGACTGTGCATACAGAACACCTTTTACAAAAATTAATGGTCAGAACAAACAAGCATCAATGCTTTGAAGCCAATGAGACCGATTTCATATTATAATTTAAAGCCTCCAACTATTAGTCTCGATTATCACACAGATCTCAAGCAGGTACTCTATAACTACCACCATGGCTGGGACTAACAATCAATTACTTCATGAAATGATATCTCCTTTCAGCTTATACCCTATCTCGCTCGATTTTGTTTCAACCAACTCCTTCGTATATTTTATTTTACATTAAAATTTGTAATATGTTAAGCTAAATACCTATATGATTAAATGTTTAACTGTTTGATGTATAAGTCAGTAAAAATTTTGATAAATCTAATTTTCATTGCAATAGGTACTTCAGGATTTAAAAAGTAAAAATTCGTCATCCTGTTGCATTCATTATTATTATTACATGTAAACTTGATTAAATTTCTTGTTTAGTTGGACACAAGCGTCTACATCAACATGGGAATCCTACAACTCCTTCCAGTGGAAGTTTCAATGTGGAATTGTCTACAGCTAACTCGTTCATTGTCCCCGGTGGTGGTATTCGACGGCGATCAAATCTTGGTCTAATTTCTTCATCAATTAATCCAAAAAAGATTTATGAAAGTTGGCTGATGACTTTACGGATTCGTACGTATTTCGCTAATTTAAGAGTTGTCCAAGATCCGGAATTATTGTCTCAATTATCCTCACGCATTGAACCTAGTGGTAAAGATTCAAGAACTGTCCAACCCGCTGTTGTATCTTCAGTAGGCAATGCTGGTACCACTACTACCAACAATAATAACAGTTCTGCTAATGAAGGAAATGATCCACAGCAGTTATATACATCCAATCTCCCATCCTCCAACAATAATACAAAATTAAAAGGTAGCGATTCTTTTGAAAAACTATGGATAAGTATTAGTGAATATTTGTTATTTTGTGTCCTTTTCAATTCATGGATTATCTGTTCTCTCGCAACCTGTGTATTTAAAAAATATATTTGTGACGGTTACTGAACAATTTACTTGGGAAAGTATAGGATTTTATGAAAATTCTGCAGTGTGATTGATGTATCAAATACTGTTTCGTATAGTTGACTTGGAGTTAGAATTTTTGCGTGTGAGCTATTGAAAGTACCTGGCTTCTCGAAATAAAGCGAATGAAGCTGGACCAAAATGAACTGAACTACCTGCATATTTAATTATATTGATATCAGATTGAAATAATGTGATATATGAAACACGCCCTCACCTCAAAATTAAAGTCAGTTATCAGTTGAGACACAAAACCTCGAAACGTGTGAACTCTACATATAAACAAGCCAAAATTCAGTTCTAAAAAATGGACAGCACCTTTCGCTAGTATCGGTGTTCATTAAATTGCCCCCCCCCAAAAAAAAAACATGTCAAAAGTTAACCAAATTCGGAAATATCAACCGTTTACTCTAAATCTGTAACCGATGATCCAAGGCTTTTGTCGAGACTGTTCTAATTTCTAGATGATTTCTGTCACGGATTAATATCACTTAACGTACCATTGAAAACTAGAGAGCACTGAACAGTTATTTTTTGCTGCGATACCCAAAAGTACTGAGTTTGATCTCTGATGTGGTTGTGGGTGCTCACTTACAAAAAGTCTCGTGATAGAGCGATACATTTGTTCAGTGCTCCTTGGTTTTAAAAATTACCCTAAGTGTGATCAATCGACTGTGAATATCACCCACAAACTAGAGATTTTTTGAATATGGATTTCCAAGCACCGCTGTCTAGGATAGTGCAAAACAATCGTAGCTTGTTGATTAGGTCATCCGACTCTTAATCATTAGATTGCATATTAAAACTATTCTCTTTCTACCTTGATTTATCCAATCGAATAATATCACCAGCTCTTTCACAATGGTAAGCGGCCGTCAAAGGTAGTGACTAACACTTTAACCAGTATATTCAGTAAATGAATTGCTACATTATTAATTTGGTCATTTGATCTGATAGACATTTGTACTAAATCCTGTGTTGATGATAGCTAGTTGATTGACTTGTGACAATTTATGTGTTTTTCAAATAACACCAGTTTTCGAACATGGATTTCACAAACACATATTTGTTAACTATGATTCTATTCTATCCATGTATACGTGCAATTGATAATCATCTTCACAAAAAATATGCTACGTATTTATTTACTATATAGAAATGGCATTTTTCGCATTTATCACTTGTATGTGAAGTGAATAAATGATACATGGGAGTGTGTGTGTGTGTAAATAAACACATCTTTTTTTAATATTATACTTGAGTCAGTGTGGACAGTAGGAAATAAATTCTATCCAGTTGTCGGTGGATAACACTGAATCTAGAACTTAAAGTTCATGTCGTTTTTTTCGAATGAGTTATAAATCATCGTTCATTACATTCTTCTCCTTCCTTCCGTTTGTTGACTATATACAGTCAGTCAGCTACAACGTAAGACCAGGCACATATGTGCATCGGTCCAAGTTGACATACCTCATTATCACAACAAGATAAACACTGGATTCATAGAAGTAGTTAATTCAGTGTTGGTAATATATAAAAGAAAGATCGCATATAAGGACATAGTACAGGAAGAAAGAAAAATATGAAGCGATTTTAATCTCATAGTTTAAGGGAAGACAAAGAGTGTATACACCGAAACCATTATGATCGATTCTGAGCTATGTCACTCACAGTCTCCAATCACTGGTTACGATAGTCACACGGACCCCAACCAAGTAGTGTGCATCAAACCCTAATCTTTCTGATTACTGCTTATATTCTTACTACCTCTTCCACTACGGAATTGGAATCGACAGCTGCATCTCTGTGCTAATGTGGTATGGCAACTCGAACTGATGTACGTACGTACGAAGTTCTACGTTGTTACTGACTGACTGATTCTGCATCTACCAACATGGCTCAGATCAGAAGTTAGTGACTTCAAGCACTGATGCCACGTTTTGGTTTGGCCGCCCCTAACTTTCTTCCAACCATCCCTAACACTAGTCAGCATTGCGCGTCGTGGTCCATCAGCACTCAAGACCACTGTTGACTATACACAAGCTATGTAAAAAATTCCCTTCAACTTCTGGATTCCGATACATTGAATGTCCAATCCAGTTGGTTAACTTATCATGTGAATATCTATTAGTTGTTGCTCAAATATGTCTATTCAGCTGCAACATGAGTGTTTTGATGAGTTTCGAGTTATGGACAAATCTGTAATTAACATATTTTATGTAGTCTATATGTATTGTAATGATGAAATTTCGTCCTGTGATATGTTTTGTATGTGGTTTTGTTGTTATCCGGATCAGTTATCAAGCAACATAAAACTTTTATGCGAACAAATCAGGCTTATGTATAGATTAGTCTTGATTAAGTAAACTAAATTGTTATTACATTAGATAAGTGACTAAAACTGAGTGAAATTTAGTATGTATTTACAAAACATAACAAACAGTTGTTTCCATGGTCACCAGGTTTGCACACACCAGTTGTATGGAAAATTTGATGGTCAAATATTTGACTTACTCTTTCATCGGTTTCCAACCATACCCCACCTATTCTGGTTGGGAAAATTGAATAATATCCCTAACTTAAGCACTATACATTGTATTCAAGTCCGATTTCACTACGTCTTAGATTGTTGTGGTTATCAGTTAAGCGATCGCCAGATCCAATTTTCTCACTTACTAATTAGGTTTCTTAGTTGATTTGATTGAAAACCCAATGGTTCTAAGAGTAACTTAGATCTTATTTCAAGTACAGTCGTTGTTCCCCGTGAAAGCTTCAATGTTTCACATGGATAGAAAAAAGCATGAATGATTTGTAGGTTAGTGGATAGCGCGTTGGGGTTTCAGTTGATAAGTATCTGGATTCAAGTTTCAGCGTGGAACGCCAACACTGAGATGCGGTACATCTCAGATATGATAATTTGCACGTTTTGTGTTCCACTGCCTAATATAATACTGGTATGCTAGAAAACATGTGATTAAAAGAGAATATCTAGTCATCCTCTTAGGTTGGATGTATCCCTACAGTGACTTACCAATTTTAGCTCCTAATATCAACAAGTGGGAGATGCAAACATTTACAAACAAACTTACAATGTTTAGTTCGAACATAGTTTTAGTAGTGGACTGGCATCAACTAAATTATCACCAAAAGAATATCCCTAGAAATATCTGAAATTTCACCGATAGATCTTATTTTCAAAAAGTGACTAAAAAGAAAACAAATAAGTACTGGATACCTGTTCCATTATCTTAATTCGAGGTTCTTTAGCTGTCCACTATCATAGTAGGAACCATCTAAAATAAAGTCAGTCTATTTTTCTTTTCTAGTAAACTTTTTATTTATTGGGACTTTTTATACTCTTTTATTGTAGGCATAAAGCTGTCTCTCACAAAAACTTCTGCAGAGTCTGTTATAGTCGAGTCGAATACAAACAAAAAGTCTCCACTTAAAGTTATCAGCGTATCGACAGAATCTCCATATGTACCATCAGCAACAGTAGCAGCATCAATCACATCTCATCCAACGTCTACGGATCCAAAAGATATGTTTACCCGACCATTACTAGGCGCACAATCTGTTGAAGATGCTCGCAAACTATTAGCCCTAAGTGTAGGTGGTAAACGTTCTTCCCAGAGACGTTTACCAGTGTTCACTTTCCCGAATCACTTTCATTACAACAATACTCATAATGTTGCTCAGTCTTTGTTCATTACATCACCAGTTCGACCATATACTGGTATTGGATTTGGACACCTGAAATCGCAACATTATAACAATTCTAATGTATCATCGTCTATAGGATCATCTTATCAAGTAAATAATAATACTATCATACAAATGTCAAATAACAGCACACCGAAATTATCATCCACCTCTAATGCTACCATTTCCACATGTTCTAATCATTTACACCATCATCATCATTATAGTAGTACTCAGCTTATATGCCCACAACCGACTCGATGTTATTCCACTCCTACCGGTACAACAGGCAGTAAAAGTCTCCTGTTGGATAATCTTATCCCAATACCATCTCGTATAGCTACTAATATGAACGATAGTGGGAATAGTAATTCTACATCGAATCAAATGTATGCTATGCTACCAAATCAAAGAGATCCTTGTCATTTGCATCAGCACCAGCATTCTTTAACTCATCACCAACAGGCATCAGCATCTCCACCTCATAATCGAGGCCAAGCAACTATGAAACATCAATATTTTAGTCAGGCAACACATCAGAATACAAATTATCAATACCAAGTATGATTGAGTGTTGTTTTTACACCTTCATAATTATCTGTTTTATCCCTATATCATTCTCATGTAAAGACAATTAGTAAATTTTGCCAAGGTATACTTTAACTAGTCGCTAACAACAGGTTGAATTAAACTGTTGTATTTGAGGTCGTAGTTAATGTTCATGCGTTTACATTGCAATCATAATCTTCATTTCGCATGTAAATGTGGTTACACCACAAATCTCACCGTCGTTGGAGTACTAATATTGTATGATATGTGTATCACAAGATCTCAGATTTAAGTTCGTTTTCAATCACCCTGGAAAGTCGTACTAGTAGCATTCGAGTGCTCAATTCAACTAAACATGTAAAAGCCTAAGTACAATAAAAATATATCTTTAACTTTTTAAAATAAAACATACATAACTGCTATGTCACACGTAGTCTGTCCAGTATACACGCTAACTGAGCTATCGCCTATTTATTGGTGAAAACACTGAACATGTACAGTCTCGTTCTTCCCAATCTTCAGTTCACTGTCTTCATTATTACTAATGAACTGAGTTCTTGAAAATCGTTTGTGTACACAATTCTAACAAAACATTTGGGGTTGAGAAACTACTTACGCGCAAAAATCGTTCCGAAACTGATGACACCTGAATAAAAAGCTAACAAAAATTGAATCAGGATTTTATAGGTACGAAATCTATTCAAAATCATAGACCAACAAATGAAAGATAAAACGTGAAACGCCAAGGCAGCTGACGTGTATAACTTCTGGAGGCCAGTGATGACTTTTACGGAAGAGACAAGCGTATAACCACAATTAAGGATTACCTTGAAAGGAGCAAGATTCGTGCACCTTAAATTTTGCAGACTAACCGTTTTGTTACCTCAGTCCTTGTACTTTATATATATATATATATATATATATATATATATATAATCTCATTTTGTTTTACAGCAGCAACAGCCAAACCCTCAGTCTCTATCGAATTCCATTGGATCTCGTCTAACACTGAATTCTAATACTGCTACAGTGCTATATCCATCTTGTCCCGGTATTTCATTACAGCAACAGATGATTTGCCCACATCGGTCTACTAATTTATCTGGTGGAGGTGCCTATCCCTCAAATCAGCAACAACAACAGGCAACAGTACAATCAGGTCGCTTTAGAGAACAATCATCGTTGCAACAGCATCAGCATTCAGTTTCATTCAATTTCGATGAGAACTATTTATATCCTACTGCAAATACACTTCCACTTGGTGGTTCAATGCTGCCTATACCTCGTAATTATCGACAGTCTATAATACAAAGAATAATTCCACAATGTAAGTTTTCCATATTTGATTTGATGGCGTTTTCAGATTCACACGAAGATCATTCAGTCCCATTACGAGCCAGTTAATGGTGTTTAAAATATCATTTAAATGGTCATAAACAGCTATTAGAATTTTTACATCTAGGCTTCACTTTCTTTGGAGCTCATGGTAAACATTTACTGCACGGCCATTTTTGTTTTTTTTTTCATCTCTTTTGAAAAAATTTTTCATCCCCATCTTCCAATAATTTTCATTCTGTTTCGTCCAATCAAATAACTAGTTTTGAGTTCGTTATAATATGGAGTGTTCACGAAAGTCCTTTATGAAAAATTATAACAACACTAATCAAATTACCTCGTTCGTCTACTCGGCTGTGAGGAACCGCTAGATGTTCTACGGCCATTTCTCCAACATACGAATCTAATATACGACTTCCGATCTCTATGTAAATGAGAATCCCTCACCACATAATGGCTGTACGTGGCTCTTTCATACGTTCTAATGAGGCTCTTCAACGCTTCAAGAGATTGGAACACTACGAGGTACAATGTGCTCAATAATAGGTTATCGGTTTCTGTGACAACGTGATAAACGACGGAGCTCGTACTTTGCATGTTACTACCGTCCATAATTGTAAGAAAATGTGCTCTGTCATCAAGTCCTCATATTTTATATCGATTTTAAGAAATAAACGACCAATTATAACGAACTCAAAACTAGTTATTTCATTGGACGAAACAATGAAAATTATTGGAAGATGGGGATGAAAATTGTTTTCAAAAGGGATGAAAAAAATTTCACTCGAAAAAAAAACAACAATGGCCGTGCAGTAAATGTTTACCGATGAATTTAATATCTGTGATATTAGGGTGTGGAATTCTGTAAAATACTGAACTGTTTTTTAAGTTCTTCTAACTCTTTACCACTATGTTTGTCACATGTTCACAGGTTATAGTTATGGCTTCAACAATTCAGACAAAGATTCAACTTCGAATGGTAATTTGTTTAATTTGTTATGGGCAGGAGAATAATAACAATGTTCTAATTAAAGAATAAGGCATAACTTTAAATGTTGTTATGTGCGCACACATACAAACATTGAATGTCTGAATCGCACTTCACTTTTAATTTGTATATTGTACATGTTAGTGTTGGTTACTAACATGCAAAAACACTTTGCTAGTGATGAAGAATGCCGTATATTATGATAGATAGGGGGGAGGGGACAGAAAACTGTTTCAAAAGAATGTTTATCGAAGACTTAAAGTTTATAAGCAAAGATGGATAGTGGCTAGCAGTGGAATTCAGGACGCGCGTTTCGTCCTGTTTGGGACTCGTCAGTCGAATTTGCCTGCACCCTAGAATTGATGTCCACTCCGAGACTCGAGCCCATTACCGTCCGCTTCAAACGCCATCGCGTTATCCACTTAGCTATCGAGTCCTAATAGCCACCTGCTTGTGCAGTGGGGTGTAGTTCACATTCACTAGGTGTTGTTTGCTTACATCTTCCCATTGTTGTCTAGGACTGCAATCCTCACAGGATGCACATATGCCAACAACAGATTGATCAATTGCAGTCTTAGACAACAATGGGAAGATACAAGCAAACAACACCTAGTGAATTTAAACTTAAAGTTTATGTTCGTGACTGTGATCATAAACCAAGCACATTGATGGATTATTTAAATCCAATCAAGTAATTTTTGGCTTTTTAGTCTTTTTGTCACACACAAGTCACTGTATCTTTTGTTCTGATAACTAAATTACTGGTTTTCATAAATAACAAAACTGTTTAGATGCTATATTTTTTAAAATATGTATAACTATTGTTTGTTTACTTCGATTACAATAACATTACTGTCTATCATTTTTTTCTATAATTTTCTACGTTTTCTAATTATTAGGTAACAAACCATAAAGCTTTAGCTCTTAATACACATTATATAAGAAAGTCCAAAGTTCTTAGAGTAATGTAAATATTTGCTTTGATGATCATCTGTATGCAAATCACTAACCAGGTTTATACACTTAGCATTTGAACAATATACTGTTCGTGTCTGTGTATGTGTGTATTGCACCTTGAGATGATAACTGATATCACTTTATGAATTCGCCATTCAGAGCTCTGATTAGGATTTCTCTATTTCGTGTCTGCTCTCTTACCCAAAGCCTAACACCCTAGGCGTAACCAATTATACATCCTGGCGGTACAATTAACCTTGAACTATCGCAAGCTGCATTCTTTTTGATCCACCTTTCCTCAAGCCTTGAATTTGAAGAGACGTTTTCAGCCAAGCATCTATTATTATCTGTTCTAATCACCCAGCCCAATGAGCAAGCAAAGCAAACAACTATCTCTAACACTCATTAGATCATTTACATAAATCATCAAACCGCACAGGACACGAGTGACAGAGAGTGAAGTAAACAGCACATAATCAAGCAACAATCATTGAGGAATAATAACAAAACGTATGACAACAGTTAATAAGTTAACTGAAAGCTTAAAACTAGGAGAATGTAGGAATACAGTGGTACAGTTACCTGCTAGTTACACAATAAGAAAAAAGAAAAATAATCTAAAAAATAGTTCCAAAATTCCTACCTTTTGCAATAACCGTCCCGTCAGAATAGTATGTGTGTATAAAACCGCTATAACGGTACCAACCCCCAGTTACCCAAACCAAATTATACGAGTTTCTCTGAAGTCTATCATTTACTGATGAGTAACTTACATTAGTGATTGCTATGTAATTATGTCCTCTCTAAAAATTATCTCTGTAACTAATCTTTCAAATATCAAATCATACTTTCCTTATTTTTATCTAATGCTCACACTTTTAAGACGATAGAGAATATCTGTAACTCAAGACGAGAAATTTGAAAATGTTTTTGCTTTTTTTCTTGTCCTCTTCCTTATTACCTTATCCTTCATTCATCGCTCTTTCACAATTCAATAGACTTAAATTGCAAGCCGACTCGGCCACCACCATATGAAATAGCTTTGGCTTTAAAATATCCTCAAAATGCCAATTCACAACGGGTATATCAATCACTGGAAAATGACACGATTAATACACGACATGAAAATAATAACAATAGTATTAATAATAATTATTATTACCACATAGCAAATAATTTATCATCTGGCATTAAACATGGAACAGGTAAATTTTGTAATTATAAATTATTATTGTTTTCGAGTTTTTGTGTAAGTAGATAATCTTACCAATCATATTTCCTTATCTTGTCTTTAAATTACTAACGTTAAGCTTTAAAACTGGATGATTGGCTAGTTGGTCAGTGTATGCGTCAATATGTAGCCAGATTATTATAGAAATTAAAAATCTTCATAGTTGGTATGTGTCTGATCACTTCACTAAAATCTGGCTTATAAAAATTTGTAGATGAATTGATGATGTTATCCAATTAATTCCACGTTGACCTAAAGAATTCACTTAATGTTTAATAGATTACATTACTCTGGCTATCAACGACATGACACCTATCGTAGAGTTTCAGTTTAATGGTGTCCAGAACAGGTCACTTTTGACAAAAGGAGACTTCAAGTATTCAGTAGTTACTACATCTTTTGTCCCTTACACATAAATATGGTGTCAGATGAGTGAAATATTGTTATGGGTACAATTTCAGGTAAGTTGGATGAGTCAGTCAGTCATCTACAACGTAGTACCCGACAGTTTCTGCTACTTTAACCGATCGGGCTATACAGTCTGGAACAAACGTCGTTCAAGGTCCTACCATGCCAGACAGGTTGGTTGAAGAGCGGTAAGACTAAAAGCAGCAAACCCAAGGTCCGAGGGCGGAGTTTTACTGCTGACTGTACAGAGGTATGACGGCATTACGGTGTTTCCTTCGGACAATCAGCATAGCAACGATGCTGCCTTCCCATTAGGAGGGGTGGGGTTGGAAAAGGTCGACCTTAAAAGTGCACATCTCGCCTTATCTCACGGATTTCCGTCTCCGGCGGTAAGGTTTCAAAAAGTACGGAGCTAACACGAAAATTGTCCACAAAAAGGACATGTGTGACCGATCTCAAACAGTTGTCCCTTAGGCACTACAGTCATGCTCTCAGGTCACCAATACCACCCCTAACCCAATTTCCTTTCCAGGCATCGCCGGAAGAACCCTTCAACGGTGTGGGCAACCAGAAAGTGATAACCACCCTCATACCTCTAATAGCACTCGAGACCACTGTACCCCTATTATTCCTTCTACCTCGACTTCCAACTCTAAACTTGATTATAGCCAGATACGATACCCAGTCACTCATTAGCTGTTGTTTTGACGACTTAGATTAAATTTAATAGTTGAATTCATGAGTCGATTTAAACTAGACCACCATGGAAAACTAGAAGTATTAGACGACCGTTCTATCCTAGCGTGGGACTCTTCGACCTCGCGTGCGAACATTTAACCTCTAACCCACTGAGCCGGCATCCAACGGTGTTAATGTCTAACTTCAACCAATTCACGATATTGCGCGATCATCCACCATTGTCTCCAGTGAATAATTGCCTCACAACAAACCCGGTTGAACTCCACTGGCCACTGCTTCTCACTAGAACTCCAGGAAATACATTTTGAAGGCAGTCACTAGTGAGCACATGATGATTATCAAAATGGGGGGTCTGTGGAGACTGTAGTAATTTACTATTTGGATTCATGAGTCGATTTAAGTTAGACCACCATGGAATCATATGAAAAACAGTGGATTTTCATCTATGATGTACATAGTTTCAAATTTGATAGTTTTTTTTAACTGTCTGACTGACTGTAGGTGACATAATAGGATGATAGAAATATATTTGATCTTTCTGTAAATTTTGAATGCCCCACTTATTTCCCATTTCTTATATCATTTTTAGTTTATTATAATAACTTTAACTGTCTTATTCATTGAATTTGACAAACTGTAATAAATTTAAATGTGATATCATACCTTATTTATTTTCTTAAATATCATTTTACTTAGTGAATTACTGACATTCTGCATCATTCAGAGCATTTTCAGTTAAAGCCTTAAAAATCGAATTTGTCTGGTTATGCGAATATTTTACTTACTTTTTTCTTATTGTATTCTTTCATATTAAACACTCAATTTTAAATCTACCAAATAGAATTACCGAACGCTATCCCACTTACTTCATTCTGAGCAGCTATGAAATATCTTTGGGCGTTATACAGTTCTATGTGACTCAAAACTAGGCGAATGTGGACTTATTGTTTCAGTAACGCTATTGAAATAATTTTATACTTGATAATTTCAGGTAACTTAAAATAAAGCGATATATATAGCTTAGTATGTAGAAAGTATATAATTCTACAAGAACACCTAAAATGGTACTGAACAGGAATTGACATATATTGTATTTTATAAACTCCAGTAATCAATAATTTTTCTAAAGAAGGCTGAATTCACACTACCTTTTTAATTTGAACGTTTCAGTTCTCTGAGCTTAACTCTTTCGAACACGTCACAGATGAGTGAAATATCCCCTTAGTGCTTTAATCACTCTTTTATGGTTACTATAACTTTGAGATCTTCATAGTGAGTTTTTGAACTATTCACATATCTTTTCCAACCTTATAACTTCGATGTGCAAGATTCTACTTTGCACTCCCATGACTTAACTTCTTTAAGTTTGGCACATTGAACTGCTTTTTGTTTGTGTATATTGTTGTTACTAACTGAATAGGACTGTTTTCATTCAGCTCTTTAGAACATTTGATTAAACCTTGAGAATCATGCGACCTGCCAAATACTATGTAGGGTTGAAACTTAATCCAAGTTCTAGTTGTCATTTGGTTCCTGGCTACACTGTTAGTATTACGTCGTTCTTACTATCATCTTTCTCTCCTATATCTACTTATTTTGTCAGGACACACACCTCACAATAAAATTATAACTTGCAAATCATAAAAACCATGCATCACTCCAAAGTAAATATGACTTTTCTTCTAGTTTTATGGTGAAATGTTTTATTTTGGATTTGATTACACTGTGTGATCAGGATTATATGTCCATGTTCTGATAAATGATTAGATTCATCCAGCTTATTATGTAACGCATGCTTCGTTATTTCTCCTGGTTTTCGGTTTTTGTTTTTTGTTCGTTTCTCTCATCTCTTTCAAGTTGGTCATGTTCCATTGGCACAAACTCACACACAAATTCAAAATTCAAAGTCAGATAAACAATTGTTTACTGTTAAGCAGTTACCGGATAAAAATTCACAAAATCCTATAAATTACGTCTCATCTACAACAACATCGACAACAGCAACTTCAACGATTGTGTCTTCACGTTCAGAATTCAGTAACAACAGTAATAATAGTAATAATAATCTGCAATATAGACCATCTGAACGGAATAAATCCTCTACAGTGTGTCAGTCATTCCAGCAACGTATACAAGAACGACCTTCTCCGCCATCTTATCAGCAGGTAAGATGGAATTCATCTTATTTATTTGTTGTATAGTTGAGTGTGTTACTTTCTAAAGTTTTTTTCATCATGTGAAATGGCTGGTTAGGTCAGTCAGTCAGTCAATCACAACTTAGAACCTGGTACGTGCTTACATCGGCTCAAGTTACCATACTCCATTGGAATGGCGAGATTAAATTGTCAGGCCAAATCCCAGAATAACAGAAGTGGTAGCATCAGTGGTGATTGAAAATGTTAAGCATCGGAGATTGTGATTCAAGTAATTTTAAATCATTGAAATGGAAACACAAGAAAAGTTATGAGGAATTTAGAAGCTCATAATTTGGAGGAAGACAAAGAATAGATACACCTGCGCCATTGCAGACGATTTTGAGCCATGTCACTGAAAGTCTCCAACCGTTGGTTACGTTAATCATGCAGACGCCAACCAAGTAGTCTACACTCGATTAACGTGGTTCAGTCCAGTCGTCGATAACTTCATGGACTGGTGTCATGTTTTGGTCTGGCCGCCTCTAGCTTTCTTCCAACTTAGTCTTACACAGATAACATCTCTCATCGAGGTAGGCTGTGGTTGATGAAGATTTACTACCTCATCAGTCGGTTTGCCATCCTTACCTAGTACCCTATTCCTGACCCAGGCACCACTTACTCTGTGTGTCAATCATACACGAGCGATGCTTCGAAGACACTGACGATTGAATACCAGTAGTAACTTACAAATATTCTTTACTTTTAATAGCCAGGTTTCACAGTCATAAGTTAGAAGTCCACTGAACTTTTAGAATTTGTGCCAAGACTTTGTCAGATACCAACCTGTCAGGATTGATTAGGATGTAAAAATAATCGGAGGTCGATGTGCTGAACTACTTCACTCCCTATTCTTAGTTCAGGCGTCAACACAGACCAGTCCTATAGTAACATTTTGCATTTGGGTTGAGAGGACCGCATCCAGAACATGCTTGGATTGTTGCTTAAAGTGGCCAGCGTCTTCACCAAAAAGAACTGTGTATTTGCGTATTCCAAGTCAACAAGTGAATCTCCTGGTAGGAAATCAACCTCTGGAAAGTTAGACGATGAAAGTGCTATCTCTAAAAGCATGTCTATGACAAAGCTAAATAAGAATGGGAAAAGCGGACAACCCTGAAGAACACTCGAAGTAATCGATTCTGATGAAAGTTGTCTATAAGTTTTGATTCGTCCACTAGTGTTCGAGTGGTGAGCTTGTACAGAGTTAATACACTCTTTTGATATGCATTTTGATGACTGACACTGCCGTCGAACCTTACGACCAACAGAGCCGAACGCTGTCTTGATGTCAAGGAATACAACTATAGTCGGACCTCAAAAAGTATGTCTACGTTCTGGAACCTGCCGAAGGGTGAATATTTGGTCTATGCATCCACGTGCAGGTATGAAACCAGTCTGATTTTCTCGGGTTCTCTCTTCACAAGCTCTACCTAATATTTGTAACACTTTGGTAGTTGAGATGGTGAAGTTTTGTAGCTCTGTGGTGTGTGCTACTTATATTGATATAAGTAGTATATTTCACGAGTTAAAACGTAATATCTGGCAGCAGAAGATGAGGTGAAGATCAAGAAAGGAAGAGCGAGAGCACAATGGAATTTGTAAGAAAATGCATGCACAATTGAATGGGAGACAGTGGATTAGTCACAATTGATTGATCACTGGGTGATGATCAATGTCATGCTTGTCTAGTCCTTATTAGTGCAGATCGAATGCTATCGATCATGTTGCAATGTGGCCAACAGTCTAGGTGACTCGACACTGCCCGCATGACATTGATCACCACCCAGTGATCAATCAATTGTGATTACATCTCAGTCCTACAGGAGGTTAGTCACGGCTCGGATAGCTCAGTGGTAACGTCTCTGACTGTGAAGCTGGGTGACACGAGATCGAATCCGCCAGGGAGCATCAGTTCCCTCAAGATTACAGGTACACCTTGCTGACGAGTGCCAAGTAGCACGAAACCCGGGTCCAGGGTTTCCTGTTGACTACCTCCAACCACCATTTAAATCTCAAGACAGTGGATTAGTGTTTGCAACGGAAACAGTCCAGTTTGATATGATGCATTGATATTTTGCAAATTGACGATTGACTTTATGGTATTCAGATTTTATTGAGATGGTCTGTAATTGTTGTGTTAAATACATTCGATTGTCCCCACCCGTGTTCTTGTTCACTACAGTTCAGGTGGATGATTTTGATGGAGTTTTATTCTCGGAGCTGGATGGTTTGGTCGTGTAGCTTTCACCGTTGATTGCTGATTGACCTGAGTGCCAGGCTTCGACAAGCACATTTAAATCGATCCAATTGGTCAACCAATCAGGAAAATTATGCACAAACATAGGAACAAAAATCAAATCAATGGGAGACAACCAAAACAAAAAAGCAAACAATGACAAATTTAAGATCAATAAGAACCAATCATCATCGAGGTGTACGGGACAAGCTGTGAAACACATATGGAGAAATTCGAACACTTCACTTCTATCTGAAGTTTGTGCTAATGATGTCGTTCAGAAGAACGGTGAAAGCTCCACGACCAAACCATCCAGCTCAGAGAACAAAACTCCGTCAAAAACTTTGGTAGTAAAACTAATTGCCCTGTGATTGTCACAAGAGGACCTTGGTTCTTTCTTATAAACTGGGACGATCAGCTAATGTAACTGCTAAAGCTGCACCACATTCTTTAAAGATTTTTGGGCTAATCCATCCATTTAAGTTCAGGGATAACTCTCTTCCAATATGACTGAACATCTCCAGATGCAAAGTCTCACTAAACCTTTAGAAGTCCATTCAGTTATTATCACCAACGTAAAGCCTGTATCGTTCCTATATTTTATATAACAGCGAAACGAATAATTCCAGTAGCAAATTAGTAGTGATAGTAATCTTATCAAAAGTAGTTAAAATGGTTCCCTCAGACAACCAGCATCTGAAGCGATGTTACCTTCTCATTGTTGATAGGACGGGTTCGAGAAAGTGTACCATGAAAATGTCGCACCTCAAAGTTACAACAGATTTACGTCCCGGCAGTAAGGCCAATAGAAGTGCAGAGCAAACATATCAAACACTTCCCATAAAAAGGTAATGCGTGATGGGCCACAGATAGTTGTCCCTGGGACTCTGTGGTCACAGTCCTAGGTCACTAAGACCACCACTATTTCATATTCATTTCCAGGTCTTGAAAAAGAAATATCCTCCCACAAAGTGGGCAGCCGGGAAGTAGCAAACTCCCTTACACCTCTATCAGTACCCAAGATCATCATATTCATGACTCAATCCCTCACTTACCTCTTAATAATTCCTTCATTTCAACGACCAATCCTTCTCACTTATCTTGATCACTGCGCGCCACCAACACTAATGATTTGAGTTCACGAAATGTCATTTCTGGTCTCCTGAAACCACTCCTTAAACTACATGTTGGAGCTTTTAATTCTGAAACCTTGTGTCAGATAGGACAAATTTATTTATTTAGAACTGTAGAATCCCGCGCTATCGAAATGTGCATCCAGGATACAAGTAGTCATTCATTTGACCTCAACTTGTCTATATAAAGAGCCGCAACCATTCACCTTTCGTGTAAATTCGATAACTATTCGTCATGAAACATTTATGCCAACATGCTTCATCATAAACATTTCCAGATTATTGATCGTTACAAGACAATTTTTTCCGTTTCTGAAGTTTTGTCCTTAATTATTCATATTGCAAAATTGTTCTCATTGTAAATTTCTTTCATATAATTCAAAATCACTTTATCAAGGTTTTATCCATGTCACGACAAGGAAATAATCAAGGGTCATTGAAAATTATCTCTGCTCAATCTCATCCACGTACAAATATTTATTCATCACATGGACGCCCACAACCTCCACAACGAACAATGGCTACATTATCTTCTAATTGTAATCATAACAACTATCGAGCCTCTTCATGTAGTCCTGGTATGACTATAGTTCGTCCAGTCGTAAATGATCTCAATACTGTTGAACCACGTAAGTTGTGTTTATGTGAAACTATAATCAGTGTACACTAGTTCATTTAATACAATTGTCATTATGTTATGAAATTCTATATTTGTCCTCCATTTATCACATATTGACAGATCCGGTGTTTCGGGTCAACAAATCAATGAGTCATTAGTTTGTTTGGTCGATAGACCCACAAATTAAGAAGTCGGTAACTTGATAAATTTACATCACCGTACATTGTTACATACCACAATACAATGATAGGAGAGGTAGACACAATGTAAATATGAACACCAATAGGAGTGAGAAAAAGGATAGAAAATTTGTAGTGAGGAAAGATTATTTCACTGTGTATTGGTTGTTTGAATCTTCCCATGGACGTTTATGACTGCAATTAATCAATCTCTGATTGACATATGTGCATCCTGTGCTGATTACCTCGATATTGCCTTAAGTCTCATGCATTATAAGAAGGATTGTTGGGAAATAAAATATTTAGTAAACAATTATTCAATAGTTGAATTCATGAGTTGATTAAAGCTAGACCACCTGGAAGCACTGGCCGGCCGTTTCGTCCTAGTATGGGACTCCACAGTAGTGCGCATCCACGATCCCGTTCGCGGGATTCTGACCGAGGACCTTCGGTCTCGCGCTCGAACACTTAACCTCTAGACCACTGAGTTGGCATCCAACGGTGTTAATGTCTAACTTCAACCAAATAATTGTTCCTACTTAGAATACTTGAAAAGAATGTGTCACTATGACTAATTTTTCAAGTCATATAATAAGAATATGTGTTCAATGGAAACACATAAGTAAGGAAATGTTTTAAAATCCGAATGAATGGGTTTGAATCAGTGAGATCAGTTGTCTTTTTTAAATCTATCCCTCAACTAATATGATGGCTAGTATGTTAAGAAGTCTAAAAAAAGTGGTAGTTTATAGTTCGTTAAGTGATTTAAATACGCAGCTTTGGCTAGTTTCTTGACTTCTTGAACTGATCCCATATTTATATCTCTTGTTGATCTCCACTTAAATTCTACTCAACTAGACAAGCACTTGATCCTCTCGATATGGATTACATTGAAAGGTGTCAAATGTGTTTAAAAAACTCAAATATCTGTCTACTACGCTATCATTTTCTTCAATAGTTTATAAATTTATTTCATTGGTTTAAATTCTCCTCGAAATAATTTAATGAATCGTAAATTAAGTAAGATTACATTTCTAATGAAAATATCGAAAGCGACCTATAATGATGATCGCTGTAATCAGTCGATAACTGTTCAATAATTACACAGAAATTTGAGTGAATACAAATAATTTACAAGGTTTGGAACAAATATTTGTCCGCATTAGTCATGACATTGTAATATCTGGGCCAATAAAGAGTTGATATTCAGTTTATGATCCATTGTCTCGATCTTTTTCGCTATCATCATCGTCTTCAGAGGGTCGGTATTCATCAAAGCACACGTATCTGATAGATATTTTTTATAATATTCTTGTGTTTATTGGTCTACTGAGTTTCATTTTTGTTTGATTTGTTTTGCGTAAATTATTTTTTTCAAATTTCTGTAGATCGCAAACATATTGGCAGGTTAGTTGATTGATCCACTTGAAACTAATCAAATGTTATAAATGTTCTCATTATGGCTATTTTTTCTTCTTCTCATCTCTCCTGTAAACTAACCATTAATCATCTCCCTCTCTCTGCTTGTATAGATTTATGTGCGTTGTATGTTACCTAGCATTATCTGTAACTGTGCTCCTTTTTATAATATGGCAACTCTCATGTCAACACTTAATTATTCACCCTGTATATGTGTACGTATCAATGGTTATAAAGTTTTTTTCCTTTGTTTGTCCCTTACGCCTACTAACTACGATCTGTACACATCACTTGTACCCATATATGTTCGAGGTAGTCTTTGGAATAATAATTTTTATTGATTGAATTGCATGTCATTTCAAGTGTCCGCGGTGTTGACTTCATTGCTTAATATTCTTCTAACTGTCATTCTTATAGTGTTTTGTTTGTGGACACTGAGTTTTATTGTTTGTGTAAACAAATTTCTAAGTTGACGAATTCACCGACCAGTCAATCATAAGTAATGTCGAACCTGACACGTGTACATCGATCCAAGTTGCTACACCCTATTAGCACAGCGAGACGAAATTGTCAAGATAAATCCCAAAGTAGAACATATAGTAACAGCATTGACGGCGGTTGAAAAGATTTAGCATTTTAGATAGGATTTGGGAAAAGAATATGGACTAGTGGGATAAAAAATTCATAAGGTAATTTAGAAAGTTACAATTTAAGAGAAGACGAAGAGTGAATGTGCCTGCTCCATCACAAACCATTTTGATCCATGTCACCCAAAGTCTCTAACCATCGGTTACAATAATCACGCGGACGCTAATCAAGTAGTCTGTACCTACCCACATGGCTCAGTTCAATAGTCAAGGTCTTCATGGACTGATCCCATGTCTTCGTTTGTCCCTATCCTACCTCTAACAACACTAGAGATCCTATTGTTCACTAATTCACCAATTGTGTGCTCGAAATCAGCCAGTCAGCTATAACGTAGGACCAGGCAAATATATGCATCGGTCGAAGTTGCCATACCGCATTAGCACAACAAGATGAACACCGGATTCATAGAAGTAGTTAATTCAATGATGGTAATATATAAAAGAAAGATTGTATATAAGGATATATCCTTACAGGAAGAAAGAATTAGTACGTAGAGAGATATGTCGATCGTAAAGAGAGAGGATTAAGTGGGAAACACTACAAATTAAGACCTGTATGTATCCATGATTTCTTTATGAAATTGCTTACACGACTACCTTACTGAGAGATTACCAAAAACTACTAGCGTCTCCTCCGTTTTGTCAAACTGGTTTGCTGCGACAAGTGATGTCCTATTAAGTTCAATAATAGGGACCTCTCTTTGTCCTCTTCACTAACAGATTAACGGGTACTCCTTCTCATCGATGTTTTTTACAAACATTTCCACGATTTAAAGATAATTCCAACTTATCAATAAAATGTAAAACTGTTGTATGGACACATTGAACAGCTATCGTCACCATTAGACCGATGGTGTTTGTGTGTGTATGTACGTATTCTCATTTATCTGTTTCGATATTTCCATTAAATTGAAAGCTATGTCATTGAGTTGAAATCCCTCATTTTTCTTATTTATGACACTTAGAAATTTTGTCATAATAAATCACCAAAAATAATGTCCACACAAACCCCAGTGACTATTATTTTCACTTCCGATCAATTTATGATATTTCTCGACCATCATACCATGTCATCACGGATGTAACTACTTTACTCTCTATAAATAATTGATTTCATAGTCCACGGTTACTTTCCACCATTAGAGCATTCAGTAATCCATTTCAAAATTAGTAAATACATGACTCTTGTGAAATTAGGCAAATAATATGATTTATTCGACCTTATTTTTACATTACATTAGTCGATTAAGTGTTGAATCTAGCATACCAAGGTCAAAATCATTGAAACGTCGTATTCGATAATTAACATTAAACATCCTTCGCAATTCAAATAAAGTTGTATTTATATGGTTTTTCCGTGTATTTCAATGCCTATTTACTGTGGTAAACTTACAGGATTGCAATGGTATTTCACAAAGTGTGTACTGTGAAAAAGTGGTACATGTAATATATTAACAACTTCCAACTTCTAGTAAATTTATCAAATCGTGTAACATCACTGAAAGGATTAATTTAATAATAAGCACCAAACTAAACGTTTAAAACATACACAAGGACGAGACATATTCACACTCAATCCACAGAAGATCAGATGATTCAACTCTTTCTGTTTCAAATCATCTATTTTCCAGGTGTAGAACATAAGTCAAAAGTTTCATAAGAAATGGAAAAATTAAACATTGCATCAGCCATTCACAATGATAAAAACACACATACTAACTATAAGTACAACGGAGAGATGACAACAGAAAACAGAGGATACGGTTCATAAATCACAAGATCTATGCACACATGAACAAAGGAAGTAATAGAGGGACACGTCGCCAAACCATACTGAGCATATAATACCCTTCCTCTCGACGTCCGTGTATTATAACTTACTTACTCATGCCTGTTACTGTTGTGAGCTTATAGGCCTCCGACTAAGAACCTCGGAGCAACTCTTTTTCAGGCTCCTCTTTCAGGTTGTCCCTAAGCGCGATTCACTCTCTTGATATCTACCTGCAAATGTCCTCTGGTATGCTTCTTTTCCTTTTCCTTCGAGGATTCCATATTGAGCCTTGCCCTTTGATGCAGTTTGATGGTTTCCTCAATGTGTATCCTACCCACCTCCAACACTGTTTCCTGATTTTCCTCTCAGTAGACATCCGAATTGTTCTCTATCACAGTCGATTATTGCTAACGGTTTCTGTCCAATGGATCTGTAGTATTTTGCATAGTCACCTGCACCTTTTTGGCAATGATGGTAGTAGTTCTCCACAATCCAACTTCGCACAGTAGAACTGTTGAGACGTTGTTGTTGTTGAAATTATGACTTTGGTGTTGTGTGACAGATATTCAATTATAGGAACGTTCACCTGTTTTGGTAATTCATACCCTCATGTCTGCATCAGATACTCCATATTCATCGAATATGCTGTTCAGGCACGTAAACGCTTCCGCTTCTTCCAGAGCCTTACCACCAAATGTGATTTGATTGGTGCTCGCCGTGTTTTATTTCAGGATCTTGCTTTTCCCTTGTGAATGTTGAAGCCTACTGTTGTGGAAGTTACTGTCATACTGAATATCTTCACCTGTATTTGTTGCTGTCGATGGGACAGGAGGGTCAAGTCATCTTCAAAGTCCAAGTTGTCCAGCTCCACTCAAGTTGTTCACTGTATTCTGTGCTTCTGAGTTGTAGAGGTCTCAATAATTGAGTCTACAACCAGCAGAAAGCGAAAAGGCAAAGTAGGCAACCGTGTTTGATACCTGTAGATTTTAAGTCAATAAGTGAGTCTTCTGATAGGGATTCAAAATACATGAACTTCAGGTCTCGTAACAAGTGTTGACTTCAAAACTTTGGGTTGAAACTTAATGGTTCAGCCACATTTTTAACTTCAGTCACTTGATGATAAAGTCGAAATTGCAAATCAGACATGTAGAACTTCTTGGTTTCCAATAATTTTTCATCTCATAGTTACATTGTAATAAAAGTTATCCTTAAATTTGAATATGTAAGATGAACTTAAAGAACTACAAATCTAATATGAAGTTTGCTTTATTGTCTACAAAATAAAACAAATTTTGCTTGTGGTTAAAAGTAGCAATGGAATTATTTGGGAAAGAAACCACTGTCACATAATACAGTTAATATATACAATAGATCCAACCCAACAATTCAGAGAGAACTACTAGTAACAAGAAGCAAAAAGTAAATGGAGAAAATACCATATACAATAAATAAATTCACAACTTACAAACTATGCATTTTTAGTCGACAAATTTCATTATTACCATTGTGATTATTCAATGTGATGTTTGATGATGGTGTAGATTTGTTCACGTGGTTTTTTACATCGTCAACAATTTGATAAGCATTTATTGTTTCACTGATCGGCCTCATCGAAGTTTGAGCAGTATGTGTCGTATTTAAAGAGTTAATAGCTTGATAATACTCTGTTGGAAAAAAAGTAGACGTAATAGAAAAGACATAATTAATTTCTATTGGACTATTTTCGTCTTTGGACTAGAATACAGCAGCACCTCTCCCGAAGTTACTCTTCTCTATATTGTATCCAATAGGTTTTGCCTATTATTATTATTATTATTATTATTATTATTATTATTATTATTATTATTATTATTATTATTATTATCATAATCATCAATGACATTGACAGTTGCCTCAATAACACTAAGTAACCGAATTCGGAAATGTTTTCTGTTCGGCTCCGTCTCTCCAATAGTCTAAACGTAAAGATCTCGCCTCGAGTCCCCTAACTTTTGTTTTTGGGATGACTGATCGATTAAGTCATAGATTCCCACTGATGAGGAGTCCTAACGTTAGGTGAGATTTTTTTTGAAGAAGACCCTCATTTTCATATGTAACTAATCTCTACAATTTTCTCGGTTATCGTACTTCTTTTTTGTCTTTTATTTTACAGATCGACCCAGAAGGCAACCTTTCATTAGTTGTTGGTTGTAAACAATATATATATATATATATATATATATATATATATATATATATATATTCAGGCAAATAAGAAAGTGACCCATCCTTATTTCATCATGACACTTTATTTTATCGTCATTCAGTTCACGTTCTTTTTCGTCCTGTTGTTTGTCTCTTGTTTGTTTGATAGTGCTCTCTGTTTTATATTTTTCTGTTTCTCTTTCAAACACATATTTATTAATGTACACAAGTTTACTCGTTTTGTTTTTTAATGTTAATTCATGTCTTATACACATCATTATTTTCAATCTTTACTTTGTAGTGTAGCTTTAGTTCTACCAGTATAATTACCCATGTATTAATGGTTTCATTACACGCACTTGACAGTCCTTTTTATTGTTTTTATTCGACGAAATTCCTGTTTGATTGTTTGGAAAATTGGTTTGTAATTATTTATTATTGTTGTTATCTTGTTTGTTGTTGTTATTGTTAAGTTTCTCGATAACAGTCAAGAAATCATCAATTTTCGTTGGATAAGCCATATCTACCTGCCGGTCTCTCTCCCTCAATTTTTGCTGTTGATCCGTTTTTTTTCATCAGGGAGTTCAAAAAAAGAAAACACCAACAGAGAACTGATAGTGTTCGTTATATAGTTTTATCCAATCTTGTTATTTTTCGTTTCACCTATGTGATCTGGCCCATTAATTTGCTATGATATTGAAAACTCTGTAGAAGACCGACTGATAAATATCCACTCATTATTACTGTAGTGATTATTATTATTATTTTCATCGTTGCTGTATATCCATATCCCAAAGATATTAGCTTCTGTAACCATTACAATTGTCTTCAGTCTACTTCATTTAGTCACCTGTTTTCTCATTTAGTTCTGCATATCTTCTTTAAAAAATTTAGAAAAATCAGTGTTAGTTCATTTCTTCACAATGATTTCAGATCAACTCTTCGATCTGTGTAAAAAACACCCTAACTGTAAATTATGGAAGCACATTATGTATATACGTACAATTCACTTGTTACTGTTTGTATTCGTTACTAGTATTGTTTTTGTTTTTCAGAACTTTCTTCATCGTAATTGTGCCCAGTTTACCAGTTATGTATTTCCTTTATATATATATATCGGATTTGTATACTTCTATAAATTACTTAGTGTTTGGTTGATTTTTGTTTATAAATAAACACTTGAATATACTTAGTTATTCATTTTATCTCTCCATGAAAAAAATTTCAATTAAGATCATGAACCGATCGTCTTTAAATGACCAACAAAAGCCTAGAAGCATTGGATGACCGTTTTGTCTTAGTATGGGACCCCTCAGCAATATGCATCCACGATCCCGCATGCGAAAATCGAACTTAGGACCTTCGGTCTCACCCACGAACGCCTAATCTCCAGACAACTGAGCGGGAATACAACGGTGTTAATGTTCATGATCTCAATTAAAAGTCAACAATCTCCCCAACCATATATTGGAAAATGCAATTATTTTGGGCTTTTACTAGCCCAGCTTTTTCGAGTGTCTAGATATCAGTAACTTCAGTATTTTTGTCTTGAATCAGATTACTCATGAGTAGTCAACGTGAAATTACAAAACATTTGTGTGCCGGAAGTTTTTCTGCGTTGAACACTGCATCCTACCACGCTTAGAAATTATTAACGAAGATGATATGAGATTCAACGCCATACCAGTGTAATGAAGTGTCTTATTGAATCTGATAAGTTATCGGGCATCACGAAGTATTTTTTCACTATATTCCGAAACCAATTCTATTTATTCGTGAATTTTCTCACGATAGAATCCTGGACATATTTCATTGATTGGTATTTCCTACGATTGTACGTATTTTCAATGGGACAAACGTATGATTATTAAAATTATCTAACCTTCTTCAAAAGTATTAATACCACAAAACTGAAGCATATGTTACGTATTATCACTAACATTTAAAGTGTCGTCTTCAAATTGTTCATTTTGCTAATGTATAGTTGTCAGTTCCACACAATTCATTCGAAGTTGAGTAGTTAAAGGATTATATTGGCTTACATAAAGTTTTATATTCCCCTAATGTCTGTTTAAATTACTGATGTGTGGGCGAGAATGATAATGATCGGTTGTCTGCTTAGTCAGATATGCAGATAGTCCGACAAGTGTTAGATGAGTTATATATTCCCCTATCATTATTATTTATTTATTTATTTACTTATTTATTTATTAATTATTATTATTATTATTATTATTATTATTACTATTATTATTATTACTATTATTACTATTATTATTATTACTATTATTACTATTATTATTATTATTACTATTATTACTACTATTATTATTATTACTATTATTATTATTATTATTATTACTATTATTACTACTACTATTATTATTACTATTATTACTATTATTATTATTATTACTATTATTATTATTACTATTATTATTATTATTACTATTATTACTATTATTATTATTATTACTATTATTACTATTATTATTATTATTACTATTATTACTATTATTATTATTATTACTATTATTACTATTATTATTATTACTATTATTACTATTACTATGATTACTATTATTACTATTATTATTATTATTACTATTATTACTACTATTATTATTATTAGTAGTATTAGTATTACTATTATTACTACTACTATTATTATTACTATTATTACTATTATTATTATTATTACTATTATTACTATTATTATTATTACTATTATTATTATTATTACTATTATTACTATTATTATTATTATTACTATTATTACTATTATTATTACTATTATTACTATTATTATTATTATTACTATTATTACTATTATTATTATTACTATTATTACTATTATTATTATTATTACTATTATTACTATTATTATTATTATTACTATTATTACTATTATTATTATTATTACTATTATTACTATTATTATTATTACTATTATTACTATTATTATTATTACTATTATTACTATTATTATTATTACTATTATTACTATATTATTATTATATTATTACTACTATTATTTTATTACTATTATTACTACTATTATTATTATTACTATTATTATTATTATTATTACTATTATTACTACTACTATTATTATTACTATTATTACTATTATTATTATTATTACTATTATTACTATTATTATTATTACTATTATTATTATTATTACTATTATTACTATTATTATTACTATTATTACTATTATTATTATTATTACTATTATTACTATTATTATTATTATTACTATTATTACTATTATTATTATTATTACTATTATTACTATTATTATTATTATTACTATTATTATTATTATTACTATTATTATTACTATTATTATTACTATTATTATTACTATTATTATTACTATTATTATTACTATTATTATTACTATTATTATTACTATTATTATTATTATTATTATTATTATTATTATTATTATTATTGAATGTTCATTGTTGTTGGATTGTGTCGGGTTTTTGGTGTGGAAATATATTTACGTTCTAATCAGGCTAATCACGTGTTCTTGATCTGAGTTGTGTTGAAGTCCTGTAGAATAGACACTGGGAGGGAATCTAATATAGATATTCGTTTTACGTTTTACGGCTAATCAGTAAAACATAACAGTTGCTTATTATTACTTTTGTCAGAAAACATTCCATCAAAACTTTACTGTTTACCTGATAGTTTATTATTGTTTATGATATTTCCAATTTTTATCAAAACTCATCCCATCACTTTTTACGGATAGGAAGGAAGATTTATCTGGGCGAACATATATCAACTGACCACGTGGTGTAATAAAAAATATATTATGTAAATAAAGAGTTCATAATAATTAGCGTAAATTGTCATCTGCTTTTCAAAAAAAGATACATTATATAACATCAAGAAAACCACCTGCGTCTAATCCATCATATGTTTTATTACTACAAAATTTGCCGTTATTTGAATTTGTTCGATTATTTCATGCTGAAATTACTTTACCATTTGGAATGACGGGAAGCCTATTGTACACTATGTTTTGCAGCTCGGATGCGATCAAGGGTGAGTTTTGCCACCAGTTGACAGTCCTTCTACAGAAAGTGCGCTCGACAGGTATTGAATTACTAGCCGGAGAATGCCCAGTTCGGGCGTCTAGGCACAGAAGACAGTTATTTAGGTGGCCGATCTGGACTTGTTGGTCGCCAGTCAGATAACGGGGACCATCTACTGCAACTGTGCGCAGACTACGACGTGTTTCTGGTTAGCACTAACTACCGGCACAGTAATCGCCTATTTGTTACCTGGCGTTCTCACTCTGTATCTTAAGCCTGGACTCAGATTGATCACACCGTGATCAGCTACCACTGGTGTGGTTGTGTACAAGACTGTCACTCCTTTTGGAGTACCTATCTGGGTTCTGATCGTGCCCATGTTTGCGCTAATCTTACCTTACGTTTCAGTGATCAACAAGTTCATTGTCCTAAACGGATCGACCTCATTAAATTGGTTTCAGCTTCTGTTACAGTTAGATATCAAACCGCGCTAGGATCAATGTTAGTTACCATTCCACCGAAAAGTATAGATGAGCATTGTTTGCAATTGCATGACGCCATGAAAATGGCGGGTGAAATCGCATTCGGCTTCGCGAAACGTCCCGCTTATAAGCACGAGGTTTCTTCTGGCTCCTTATAACTCATTGAAGCACATTAGTCTACTCCGGGTGATTGTAAGTTTGACTATATACGAAGACTGTTACCTGATGAAATTGGGCGAAGCTTGTGTAAGGACCGACAAGCCTGGTGTTCGGAGCGTGCTGATGAGTTGGAAGCAGCAGCTGCATCTGGTCACTGCGTAAGCTCTTCCTACTCACAGGCTGCAAAAAGTTTGGTTTGAGCGAAACAATCTGTGAAGATGACGGGATGCCAGTCAATAGCATCTATAGACGTCTTGAACGATGGGCAAATTTTTTCGAGGGGCAGTTCAACTGGTCTGGTACCCTAGCAACATTAATTAGACTATCCTACCCTACATGGGCTGTGATGACTCATCCACCAAACGAGGCAGAAGTCCTCAAGGAACTCCAACTCTTGAATGGCTACAAATCACTAGACCCAGATGACTTACCTCCGACCCTATTTAGAGATTGTGGTGACTTTCTCATTCAAGAACTGACTGAGTTGTTTACAAAAGTTTGGCAGTTAGAGAGTGTTTCAGCATTATGGAGGGAGTCGATAGTTGTCCCTATCTTTAAAAAGGGTTCACGTTGTTCCTGTAACAACTATCGGGGGATAAGTCTACTTCCGATTGCATTCAAGCTATTGGGTTCCGTCATATTTCGTAGGTTGTTCAAAACCCGAGAAAGATTGACTCGCAAGAAGCAGCCTGGCTTTCGTTCTAATCGAGGATGTATTGATCATATCTTCACCCTCCACCAAATGTTAGAACACCGTCATACTTATCTCAGACCAACAATCGTAATGTTTCTTGACATTAGGGCTGCCTTCGATTCGTTGGACGGGATTGTTCTATGGGATTATCTGTTGAAGAAGTGTGTGCGTGGGAAGTTTATCAAAATCTTAAAAGCCCCATATGCAGACGCCTTAGGCAAAGTGAGGACACACAACCACCTTTCTCCATTGTTCCATTCAAGCAGTGGGGTTAGACAGGGTTGTCCAATCTCATCAATCCTCTTCAACTTGGCTATCGACGGCGTTCTGGAAACAGCTCTGATGGATGTAAGTAATGGCGGCGTGGATCTGTTGCCTGGAGAAAGACTTCTCGATCTTGAGTATACAGATGATATTGTCTTACTGTGCGATAATACCCAAGGCATGCAATCCGCACTTAATCAGTTGGCAATTAGTGTCCGTAGGTACGGTATGTGCTTTGTAACTTCGAAGTGTAAAGTACTTCTACAAGACTGGCAGGGTCCTAGTCCTGTACTCACCCTGAATGGTAAGCAGATAGAAGTAGTTGAGAACTTCGTGTATCTGGGTGGCTGCATTATATGACGGGAATAAAAGTCAAAATTTGATTGATTTACTCATCATGACTGTTACTGAACGTTACTTCCGTTTTAATTCAATGTGATGATTACTTAGTGTAATATGTTTTCTTTTCTAGTGTGATCTTTTATTCTGTATAAAATACATTATTCTTGTATTGAGTTAACATGAACTTTACTCTGCATATGATTTGTTAGAATTTAAAGCGTTTTTCGTATATTTGATCTCATCTTAATTATTAATCAAAATGTATGTACAATCAATATATAAATGAGTGTATTTTCGACTAGGGTAGTCGTCGTCGTGTTTTGAAGGTAATGAATCTCCAATTGGATCAGTTTTTGTGTTCTTACATTCGCCTCGTGGGGATTTCTGTGGTTCCTCGTTTTTTGAGTATGAGTGATAAGCGATTCCCATACAACAATCAGCGACGACCAGATATAACAAGTAGCCTTCAATCGACAAGATTTATCACTTCAGAAGTGCTGGTGGTGGCGTGAGTGATGAGATCTATTCACGTGTAATGAAAGCTGGAGCGGTTTATGTCAATCTGGGTCATCTTTGGCGCCTCCGTGATGTCAGTCTGGCTGTAAATGGTCGGATCTACAACGTGTCGGTGAGAGCAGTTTTTCTTTATGCTTGCGAAACATGGCCTCTCCAAGTTGAGGATGTTAGACGATTCTTTGTGTTTGACCATCGTTGTCTCCGAAGAATTACTGACATCCAGTGGCAATACCATGTTAGTAGTGCAGAGGTTCAGCATCGTGTGTCCGAGTACCGAGACGATAATTCAATTGGTGTCACTACTTTGAAACATCGACTTCGGTGGCTTGAACATGTTCTATGAATGTCAAAGAATCCCTTGCTGTGCATTATTCATCAACGCTTGGACCGTTTAGAAAAAGCGGAGAGGTGGTCAGTGTATGACATGGTGTCGTGGTATGAAATAAAGCTGTACGGGACTGGCTTCTGTTGGTCCTTTACGACTCCCTGGTTGGAATCCTAGAGATGGTCCTACACAGTGGCTAGAGGCGTTATCAGATATGGCTCAGA